TTCTCAGCAAACCCCCACCTTCCATTAAAACACTTATCAGACCTGGCAGCCCCTTGACTTTGTCATCCAACATAACAAAGCGCTGTGTCGCCTTTGTATCTGAAGCCTGACAGGGCTTTCAGAGGTTGTCCTGTAGAGCCCAGCTGTCCTTCACATTCCTAGAGAACCCCTAAAATGGCTGTACCCAGAGCGGATGCCCCGCCACCACCACCACCGGTAGATTTTTACTAGGCGCTTTAAATTATATATTTAGAAATGCATAACTGTTGTATTTTATTTTTGCCTCTTTACAACTTTTTTTCTGTTTTCTTTTAAAAGAAGCAACCCATTTGCTCATGTTAAACTGAAGAGGACGATTACCAACGATCGATCAGCTCCTGTCATTTAATGACCTTGTGGCATTCTTTAAGGGGAAAGTGACTGAAGACTAGTCTTGAAGGAAAAATATTTCTTTGTTATCTCATTTCCTCTGTGGGATATAAGACCTGATGTAATAAACTGTGAACTGGTCTCATTGTAAACCAGCAACATGTACCCAGTTCAGTTTACACCATCCTTGAGAAAATCACCTGCAATGTCTACGATGACCTAATTGTCAGATTCCCAGTAGCTCTGTGTGTGGATACATACGGTCAGCTATAGACTGCTGATGCCAGGTTCTGATTAAAGTATTTGCATATGACCTTAAAAGTATTACACAAAAGGTGACCCTCCTCCAGTCACATGGCAAAGAAGAAAGAGCAAAGAAGCCATGTGTTCTAAGATCACATTCCAGAAAACACAGTTTAAGATTTATGATCATTATAAAATGTAAATTGTAATGAAATATACAGTTTAAATTTAAATATTAGACACTAAGCTTAAGTAATGCGATAATTATACTTAGATCCAGATGCACAACTAAGAGTCATGAAGCCGTGGTGCAATATCTGAAAACCCCCTACTATCTCCAACTAAACTCTAATAATAAAAAACCTGTAAGCCTATTGCGAACTCAAACAGCAGATAACTGAATGTAAAAAGGGAAGCATAAGAAAGTGAAATGCTGCTTTATACTTAACATATATGCGCATAGACATTATGTAATGTGATCACACTCCAGGTGATCTCATTGGCCTGAAAGTAGCCATGCACCCTCATGTTATCTCCAGGAAAGATCCATATTAATACAAGATTGATATTGCTTTACATTCATACTGCTACACACTCCTTTCTACAATAATCTAACAATGTCTGTATTATCTATAGTAGAATAAGAAATGTTACCAAATAATTGTCATCCAGTTGTGATGGTTTAGTATCCTATTCAGGTGTCACCTAGGATTCCACTGCTGGAAGTGTTCAAACACTTCCAAATGAATGGAGATCTCTGGGTTAACAAGACTGAAGACGGAAGGATTATACGATTCAGCTGGACTTAATACTTTGGAATCTCAACAGTAAAGCTTGAGTCTATGGATGGGCAAAAGGAAGACTGGGCTGAGAAGTCCTAGCTCAGCTGACTCTTACTACCAACCCCACTAGGAGAAATGTAATGGAAATATGTGCACCAGCTGTATACAGGCTGAACTTCTCATTGTGTTATTCAAGTAACACTAGTTGTATGAGCATAATGCATGTGAAAAGATGTTACTGAAAAGAAAATGAAAGTTGTAAAATGATTGTAGTAGGATGTGCTATGAGGGAATATTCTAGGCTAGGGCTAGTGAGAATGTGCATTGGAAGTGATGTAACAGTTATGCCAATGGGAAAATCGATGGATAGAGAAGCTTGGATAATTATGCATTCTTGCATATTTGGAAACAGGTGCCTATCGATACATACAGAATGAGAGTCACACACCTTTTTGCCTCACTAGCTGTCATGTTAAAACTATTCTGGCAATTCGGTTTAAAAGCATATCAGTGAATATTATAATAAAGGTATATGATGGCCAGCTATTGTCCAGGCTAAAATGCAGAATTGATTTAGAAAAAAAATGAAATCATTTGATATAAGTACTCTTAGTGACGCGTACACATACACGCACACATGCATAGGTTGAACTGGACAGACCCGTGTCTTTATTCAATCTTAACAACTATGTAACTATGTAAAAGAAAAAAGAAAAAGTTGAAAATAAAAGTTTTTCTTTTTATTAAAAGGGGCTCTATTGTTGGAATTTTGCCTAGGACTTAACCCCTCTTTATCGTAAAACAGCAGTTGGACCCCCATCTTGCTTACATTTACTTGCAGGAATTAAGTTTATCCTTTTTGCATACTCCTATAGCAGCCTCACACAGGAAGATTCCAAGTTAAAATACCAGATTTGATCAGCAGGGGAAGCTCCACATAAACCCTAGAATTGCAGTTCCTGGTCACGGAGGATCTCTGCTTTGCAGCTTCTGAGGGCATTCTTTGTTGTTTTTGATACTGGATTTAATGAGGCATTTGTGAAAAGAATATGGAAAGTGTGACTAAGATGGTATATAATACATGTACATACATTCTCTGTGTGAAGGGACGATGGAGTACAGTCCTTGATAAGAGAAAGCAGCATCAAATGTAAATCTGCTGTTTGGAACACTGAACGTGATGACAACCTGTAGTTTTCAGAGAGCTACAAGTCCCAAGATGTATTGACAACTTAGTCTGCAGTTCAGCAATACCTGGACAACCCAAGTTTATTATATATATATGAAATATGAGGGGGTATCCGAGAAATGACAAGTAAAGATAGAGAATAGCCAATTACTTACAGCATAGCTCTATCATTCAGGAAAATTCCATAAACATTGAAAATGAAATAAGACCAGGTATAGATCATTTGAGATGCGGGAATCGAGTACCGTATATACTCGAGTATAAGCCGAGATTTTCAGCCCATTTTTTTGGGTGAAAAGTGCCCCCTCGGCTTATACTCGAGTCAGCGCCAGCGCGTCATCTTACTTGCCTCACCGAGCGTCGCGTCACTGCTGCTCGGTGTGCGGCGCTCCGAGTGGGGTCATCTGGCAGTCTCACAAAGTTCAAAATACAGAAAATAACTCAAAAAGGAAAATTCAGTAAAACGTCACTTTCAATAAATACTATATAAATAAATAATATTTAAACTTTTTTAAAACTATTTCAAATAGTTTTTATTAAAAGTGACGTTTTACTAAATGTTTGTTTTTTCTTTTTTTTTTTCTTTTTTGTGTTTTACATTGTGATTATTACTGTGTTCCCAAATCTGACATTTTTCTTATACCTGGCCTTAGTTCTATATGAGTGAGTACACAGTCAGTCCATTAATTATTTTAGCTACCGTAGATGGTATGAATTAGGACCATTTTTAGAAACATTGTGAATGGCGTCTATTACATTTATTTATAATTAATCTGGCTCTTGAATTATCTGCTGTGCTTAATGGGAAATGTTCATACTTGTTGTCATGGGAACCTGTAGACTGATATGTGAGCTTTCCTCGGAAGATACTTCTGAACAGGTATAATGGAACAAGATGGGTATAATTGTTGTAAAGCTGATTATTTCACTGGCCTGTCTTACGAGATCCAATTTGAAAATGAAATTTGTCATGAAAGGCATCTGGGGCTGCCATAACTGATCTCTTTGTGAAAAAAGCTGTCTGAATGTCATGTTGATCTTCTGGTTTTGGAGTCAATGATCTGAAACAAGTGTATAGCCCAGGGGTTCTTCATTGTCTGTATGCTTTTTGTAGGTCAGTGACTCAGAAATGATTGAAGCCAGAGGATCAGCATGAGTCCTAGACTGTATCTGAGAAGGCGGTCAGGAGTTGCAGTCTATATTTCTTTCATTGTTTTGTATCTGTATCATTGGTTCCTTTCTCTGGCCATACATGTTTTCCCATTAATAAAATTCTGTCTGTTACTTGATGAATTTGGCCCATGGGAGGCCCTGCCAGCACCACCCAACTTGCCGCCCAAACACTCATTGCAATTAGCTGTAGTCACTGTTCCGGTATTCTGACATCAGTGGGCGCCAGCTGTCACAACTCAATAGCTGGCAGGGGAGATTCCTCCATACATGCTGTTTGGATCAACTGAATTCTGTCTGAACATTAAAAATATTAGGCCTTATGGCCAGATTTTATCTCTGTGGGAGCAGCAGGAAGGTCTCATGTCAAGTAGTCCTCATGATTGTTGTCTGCTAAATAAAGTTTACACTGAATGGTCTGTATGACAGGAAAACAAGACTCATAATCCACTTTATAGCCAATAGATTTCCTGTAAAGTAAAGCCATTGGTCAAAGAACATTTTTTAATTGCAAAGTTCTTCAAGCGCTATCACTGTTCAATTCTATATACATTATGACCAGCACATGATTGTTGTTACTCAGAAATGACGTTGATTCATTAAGAACGTTGTCTTTGTGATCACACTCTGGTGATATTGTCTATGTATAAGTCCTTTCTATAATGTGTATATTTTAGCTGAAACATATAGGGGGTGATTTACTAACCTAAACACACACACACACCAGGTGTGTGTGATTTTCACACAGCAAAACATATTTATCAACCAAAAAGTCTCTAAAAGCATATTTCCACTAATGCCATATATGGAAAAATCATGCACATGATGCATATATAATGCTGCTTCACAGTTTAGACAAAAATGGTTAGCTCATGCATTTACATTCCTGCATTCATCAACGCAAGCAACACAACATAGAACTAATTTACCCAACATCACCTTGGAATTCATTCAGGGCTTTGCACAACACACTTGCTGGGTGTGTACACATTACAAAGGTGTTTAGATTCCACCCATAGATCATGCTGGGAGGGAACACACTGCAGAGGTGTATACACATTTGTGGTGTGTTTATAAGGTTAGTAAATCAACCCCATAATGTCAACAATTAATGCTGCAGTGCCTGTTACCTTTTTGTAACACAATGTAACATACATTGTAGTATGTTTATGGAGTTTTTCACTAATTCAGCAAATAGATATTGCTTTAATCCAGTCTGTGGTGTGATGTATTTGTTATATTCTTTGGGTCATAGCCATCCCCCATGTGGGTTGTTATAGAAAGCCTGTTGTGTCTGGAGTGCGTTCCATGTCCACGTTTAATTTACAGTGCCTCCTTATTGCTCTGTCTCTTCCTGCGGGATGTCTCCTCCCCGAGGACTGCCAGGTACTTCCGGCTCTGATGTTAGAGCCAGCAGGCCGAGGAGACGGAGACAGAGGTGAAGGCACGAGGTAGATCAATACCACCTGCATGCTGGGGCCTTGGGGTACAGTGTGGAGCAGAACAGGCATGGGGCTAATTGCACTACTTGTTAAATCATACAATAAAGACTTAATTTAAATCTTATTGTATGATTTATCAAGGAGTACAATACGGATGTATTAGTAAAAGCAGTGTTGTATTTACATTGCCTGTCCCCAGACACTTACTGCATCTATGTGTGTATTGCATTTACAATATTTGCATTCTACATACAATATATACAGTAGATGCATTTGTTAAAAATGCAGTACACCGAGCAACAAGTGTTGTTATGGAGGGACACCAAGCTCTCTATC